ATTTATTTTTACATTTAGATTCAGATGTTGGATCGGCTGAGTCAAACTGCTTCTGTACTTCTGCTCAGCTGAACATGCAAAGCATGTCCGTCTGACCGAAGGCAGCCCATGTACGGCTGATTTTAGTTGATGTACGGCTGAACCGAAGTGAATAGCCAAACGCCGTTCGGCTCAGTTCGGCTCGGTTATTCACTTGGCTGCGTTCAACAGCTTTGTGAATAACCCTCCAGGTCTTTAAGTGGTTAAATATAAAAATTCTAAAAAACTACAACTGTTTTTTCTTGACATGCTAGGGTGTTAAAAGCTGTTTTAAAGGGTTAGGCTATAGCAATAGGGATCAGTTTAGCGCTATTGGGGGTTTAACTCAAGGATAAAAAGTCCATGCACAATCCTCACTTTAAATGAGAGTCCTTTTGAAATGTCCATATACCAAGGAAGCAAAATTAAATGCATTCAGACTTTTTTGTTACCTTCCCATCACAATTGAGACATGTGGAATAGTGTTGGTGTCTACTGGGATTCATAATAACATACAATAAAATGTATAATTGATGGGTTGTAGGCTGAGTTATGAATAAAAGTTGATGCCAAACAATTGCTTTTACTATTTTTAACACAAATTAATAATAAAATGCAATATTGGATGGTATTATTTGGAATGTTATTGACCAGCTATGGCAATGGCCGTTTCCCTGACCGCTCCATGTCAGCACACAAATGGGAGAGCTCTGCCTCCCCACCACTCTGATAGGCTCTTAACTCTCATAAAAATGACACGCCCAGCAGCATCCAGCGTTCCTTTTTTTTTTCCTCCTCTACCGTCTGTAGGAGTAGGGAATGGTTGCCTTACCTTGCTGGGGTAAAGCCCTGGCTGTCCGCCCTGCCTATGTCCCTGAAAGTACTGGGCGCAGTCCCCCTGGTCGTCCTAAATGGAGGTAATGGGGGAGCCTCGCTGCTGGTTTTCGAGGCCGTCTCCATAAAGTTCTGTGTAGCCGGGAGCGGGTTCGTGCAGCTGCGTTCCATCCTCTCTTTCAGGCTCTGGCTCCTCCCCCTGTGCGTCATCCGGGCTCGTAGCTGGAACGCAGTTGCGTTCCGGAGAGTCCCCGGCGGATGTGATGCAGGTGCCTCGTCAGAGGCGATTTAAGATCGGCACTGGGCTCTCTCCACTCGTGGAGGACGGACGTCTAGTACCCCCGCTGCCGCCTCATACATCCCGATCAAGTAGGCTTTATACAGGGTAGACAGGCTCCAGACGATACGAGAACACTCATAGACCTCATACAATGGGTGGAAAATTCTAGTCAGCCTTCTCTGCTCCTCTCCTTGGATGCAGAGAAGGCTTTCGACAGAATACATTGGGGTTTCCTAAGAGAGGTGCTACACAAATGTGGTATTGTTGACTTCCTAGGGTCAGCCATAGGAGACCTATATACTCATCCGAGTGCTAGGGTTTGGAGCTCTGGTTTACTTTCGTCTCCCTTCCAAATCACTAACAGCACCAGACAAGGCTGCCCCCTCTCCCCCCTCATTTTTGCTCTGGCTATGGAACCACTCGCTGCAGCCATCTGGCAAAATCAGGACATAACTGGTATTTCTACCGGTCAGCATATACACAAAATCGGACTTTACGCAGATGATGCCATCATCTTTCTCACCAATCCCTTACGATCCTTATCAACAGTTCATAAGATCCTCACACAATTCAGCGATATCTCACTTTATAAAATCAACCACTCTAAATCACACTTGTTGGCAATTAACCTAGAAGAAAGGACTAAACGGCTTATAGAATCCACTAACAGCCACAGGGTCATATCTCATATGCAAAAGACTTTCACAGTCATGTGCAGCCCTTTTTTGTCAACCAACCATGGGCAGGTTCCATCTATCCTACCTTGCCTTGATCCCATGTAGTGTTTGGAGGTCTATAAAGTGGGGTACCACCTTAGCCTTTAAAGTGATATTAAAGTCAAAAGGTTTTAAGCTATTTCAAATGAATGATTAAATCACTTACAATGCATGCTCCTTCTTGATGTTTAAAAGTTTTAGCTTACTGCAGAATCAGCTGGTTCCCTGAGCACAGGTTCTGATATCCTGTTTTAGGTTTTCTATTGCAGGGTCCTATGGAGCCACCCTTGTGTGTGCTAGTAAGCTGTGTGTGTCTCCACAAACACACAGGTACAGCAGGGTATGCCACTTCCCTGCTCCCCGCTCCTCCTTTGTCCCTTATCCAAGCTAGTAGATGGACAGTTGCTGGAGACTGCTTTGTCTCCAGCAACTAGCGTCCTCCCGTGACCCAAAGCTCAGTATATTGCAAGCTACAGCTCGCTGTATACTGAGGCCGCCGCAGCCGGAACGAATCCCGACATTACTGTCGAGATCCACCCAGCTGCGTGATTAACAGCTGGCTCTGCCTATCTAGAGGCAGAGCCCGCTGTACCCACCCCCTCCCCCGTTCGTTTCTCCAGTCAGCGCTGGAGGATCGGAGCGGGGAGGGGGGGAATCCCTGCAGGGAGCAGTGCCTATCTAGAGGCAGAGCCCGCTGTACCCGCTGTACCCGCCCACCCGCACGTCGGCTCGATTTATGAGGATGGGTGAAAATCAATCACCTCATAGTTCTCCTTTAATATACAGTCAGGCAACAATGTAACAATAGGTTTAACAATTATTTTCTGGAATACCAGTGCTGAGCTGTTGAATTACAGGTGTATTTATTCCTTATATTTAAATCACACTCAAACAGTACAAGTCTAGAATATAGCCTGCTATAAAGATATAGTTTCCATTTTCACCCACCTAGTTGGAACTAGTACCATCTGGTCCCACTAATGAAGCATGCATTTGCAAGAGGGAGCATAATCTGATCATCATATCCTCAGGCAGCGATTACAGGACAATATTCTTCTACTGAACTTTTAAACAACCCCTTTTTCTTCTAGCTCATGAACATTTTTAAATGATGGTACCACTATAAACTTCTAAGTTTAAAGTAAGCCATTAAAACCTTCAATTTAGAAAAATTAGATCATCTTCCATATGGCACTAGCAAAGATTTCATGCAGTCAGGTACACCCTGTCATAACACATTGCTGTAATGAGAGTTGCATTCTTGCAGCATTCTACTAACAACGTGTCAGAATGGAGATTATTCCAAAGTCAGATGCTGGGCAGGCTGAGTCAGAGCTCCCTAGAGACTTTCACTAATGTGCTTTCAGACCACCTCTGCCTGTTTGTTTGCTTAACAGGATTACATTCTAATGGAGATGGCTAAAATTAGACTTGGCATGCAATTTAAAGGACTTCTACAGTGCAGACTGCTTGGTGCCTACTAGTATACACAGTCAGCAGTTCTCAGTACATCACCTGCAGTTTACATCTTGTATTCCCTTCATGGTCTAACTCCACATTGACTGAATGGTTTTAATGATCATGTAGCTTGTATGGTGCGGTGGTGGCACACAAGTACTGTTTTTTTACCGTAGTATGATAAGCCAAAGGTATTGCTGTGCAGTCTTATGAGATTTGTTATTCAGATTTTAAACTGTTTGCAGTTTTAAGTCGGATGTACACACCTTGATTTTCTTCATTCAACCTGCTGGCTGAACAAAGAAAATAAAATAGATTCTTCCATCAATGCTTATGTGAGTTGATCAAGGAATCTTCTGCTGTTTCCTTTGTATTCTGATAGCGGTCGCCAGCCTCTGTCAGAATACCTGAACAGAGATAGTAGCTCATTGGCCGCTAGCTCTTTTCGGCCGACAATTTTCCGACATGCTCCTTCTATCAGCTGATCAAGGGACGCTGGTCAGAAAGATGCGCATTGAATTTCATCTGGTTCCTCAAGAAACAGCAAAAATCTGATGCATGTATACCCGGCTTTACTGTTTATCAGCAGTACATTTTAAGTTCATTGCATTGCTTATTAGATTTTTGTCTTATATTAATACCAAAATGGCGGCGCGCATGCAACGACCCGGCGGCCCATATGGCCACCGTTCATTCAGTGCGTGACGGCACCACTGGTGCGTTCTGAAAACAAATTTATGTATGCCTGAATATAGTTTTCGTATATTCGGGCATATAATAAACTCATTATTTTGGATTCGGACAAACCGCCAAATCAGCCAACGTTAGTCGATTTGCAGGTTCGTCCGAATCTGAATGCACGTGTCTACAATAGTTGTTATCTTTGCCACATTTTGACCCTAAGAAACTTGAATAAAAGTGAGAGTAAATTGCACTGAAAATACCGGTATCTCGCAATGTTGTGTTGCAAAAACATATAGGTGGAATGAATATAATAATAAAGGGGATTTTCACTGGTTAATAGCCTCGCAAGTAACTGAAAATGGATTGATGGGACTATAAAAGAATTGCTATCCCAAGCCCCTAGGTGTTCTGCAACCCAAGATCCTTTTGTCTTAAAGGAATTCTATCTCTGAAAAAATTGGGGGCTGAGAAGCCTCTCAAAGTTACATGTTGTAGGAAAATTACAGGACACTGTGACAGGCAAAGCTTTGGCAGTTCCTGATGGTATTGGGCGGTGAGACTGCCTATCATAATAATGGGCATAAAGGAATATGTGGAGGTTGGACTTAGTGGCTAGGCACGGCACTACCTGTAAGTGTTGGAGCTTTGCATGGCAGAATGGCCTGGCAGCTGCAGGTAGTACAGCAGTCCCCCCCTTCCCAATAAAAACATTAGCATTTTCAATATTTTACAAGTGGCATTAGATGCAAAAGCTAATCCACATATCACTATCAGAGGGAAAGTTAATAATGTGGATATTTCCATCCAGGTTAGGAATGCTGTCTCCTACTAAAAGGAAAACCAGCAGCCTTGCTTGGTTCATACTGGATGCTGCCTATAATATATATCGGATACAATATTTATGGGGCCCTAATGAAGCCTTAGGTGAATACCTTTAGCTGACCTTATCTTTGACATAAACAATGCCTGCCGTGCCTCTTGTTGTGATTTGCTTCTCATGTCTTTGACAGGTTTAATAGTATACCTGGGAATGATGCTTGGTGCATTTGTCTGGGGTGGACTGGCAGATAAGCTGGGCAGGAAGAAATGTCTCCTCATCTCACTGACCATCAATGCTACCTTTTCATTTGTGTCCTCCTTCGTCCAGGGTTATGGATTCTTCCTTTTCTGCCGCCTTATTTCTGGATTTGGGTAAGTTTTTGCATTGATGTTTTAATAACTAATACTCAAATGATATATCTAGATTAATGGATGGATATATTAGGAATCAATTGAGTACAGGTATGGTATTTGCCAGTAATATCATGTCCTACATGCAAAGTGTTGAAGCATTTGTTATAAATCAGCAGCAGCAGACCTTCACATACACAGTCATTGGCCGCTATCTGGGCAGGAGCAATAGGAGACTACTCCTTCAGCTGGAATAACTGAAATGAAATGATGCAAAACAGGGAAGGAGGTTATCTACCAGTATTTAGGGTCCATGCAAATCAGCCTCTGCGCAAAACGCGTAGTGTCTAATGTGCAGTTCCCAATTCAGTGCTGATGTGCCGATCCTGGTGTACTTTTTTTTTAGAACTTTGTTGAAATGTCACAAATGACAATTCATGCAGTTCTTCGTGCACAGCGGGGTGCGAGGCGGTTGTTCCCTGTAACCTCCCGCTGCACTAAAAAAAAGTACTTTTTTCAGCGCACACCACTGCATTCCCACCGCAGTGCAGTGGTGTGAATGGTGCCCATCCATGACCAGGCAGATTGCCTTGTCTTGTATTGTATTGGGGCTGCACTGCAAGCAGCCATCGCAGCCCCTGTGCAATTGCTGTGAATGGACCCTTATTCATTAAAATTAGGTGTAATGGTCTAGATATTTTACCTCTAGAAATATTCCATATAATCTTTCTGGATAGAGGGTGTTTCTTGTGTTTAAAGTATTTCTAAAGTCAAGGCTTTTTGTTGCTTCTTTGACAGTGGTCAGGACACAGAGTTGAAATCAATTGTCTAGAGTTACAAATAGATTTTGAGCACTTGACCAACTAGATATAGTGTTTGCATGACATTTTACTTTATCCTGGAAAAAGTCCTGTAACTGCATGGACATTGATTTTAGATACAGTAGCTGATAAGAGGAATTACATAGTGAAGTTCATTACAACTTAAGATACTTGTGTCTATGTATAGATATAAGTATGGGGCCCTATGATAACAGTATAAATTGTGTTAAAAGTGAATGTAAAATAAAGATTTGCAATTATGTTTAAAAATGCTATTGCATTTATACTTTGCTTATAAAGAGGGGCATTGCTAGCCTATCACTGATTGGCAGGAGATGAGCAGGATGCCATCCAGAGTGTCCCAGGTGGGGGTTGGCAGACATGATGCTCTGCCTGCCCCCACCCCCATGTGACCTTAAGAGATGCCACCTTGCCTGAAGGAACAGCCTAAGGCTGTCTCATTATACGGATGACCCTGCCTATAAATAACTGAAAGACTCTTGTTATAATGACATTACCAATTCTTAGTAAATGGATGCATTGAATATTGGGCCCGATAATATACAGTATGTACATGACTTGTACCCTTTAGAGATGCACAATCCAATAAAACTGCAATTTCTTAGTGTTTACCAGGCCACTTAACAGGAACACAGTAAAACCAGATTTAATATGTGATATCAATCACTAATACCTTCACAATCCTATACGGTAAATTAGATATACAAAAACATGCCAGTGTATTATTACCAAAAATCTGTTCCTGTTAAACTGCTGAGTGTCTTTTTCATGTGTGTTAGCAATGGGTAGCAGCTGTCACATACGACATGTTTTACATTTCTAATGTATCTAGTTTTGCAACTTTTTAAAAACTTCTTCTTTATTACAAACAACAAAAAGTCAAAAAGTTTCAACATATGATGTACTTCTCCTACACAGTATTGGAGGTTCCCTTCCCATTGTGTTTGCCTATTTCTCTGAATTCTTGGCTCGTGAGAAGAGAGGGGAGCACTTAAGCTGGCTTTGCATGTTCTGGATGATTGGAGCGATCTATGCATCAGCAATGGCTTGGAGCATCATCCCACACTATGGTAAATTAACTTAGGGCTAGTGCCTCTACCTCTTTACTCACTTAACTAATGCCACTGGTCCAAATAGGAAAATCATTTACATATATTTTACATATTTTTAAATAAGGAAATAGTCTCAGCCATGGCTAGTCAGCAGGAGTTTGGACCTGCTGCAGAAAACTTTAACAAGAAGTTTGTGCTAAAGATCTTCTTTATAGAAGGGTAATTTAGAATGAGGTCTGTTTTGTTGGATATCACTGTCTGCAGTAAATTATATACGACAATTGGTAGATAACTTGACTTGTATAAGTGATAGATTAAACCCCTTCATGACTGAGGCCTTTTTTTCATTTTTTGTACCCATGTTATATTCCACATTTTAGCCTGAAAATTACTTAAAACCCCCAAACATTGTATATTTTCTGAAAGCCAAGACCCTATAGAATAAAATGGTGGCAGTTGCAAATTTTTATGTTGCACGATATTAGCGCAACTCCTTATCAAACCACAAAAATTTTGTGAAAAATGTACTTAAATGCCTCAAAACACAATTTAATAACATATAACAGAGGAGGTTACAACGAGTAAATAGATACCCAACGTGCCCAGGTAAAAATTGTATGCGTCCGTGAAACGACGACAAAATTAAGTACCCCAAAAAGTCCATAGACGACGCTTTAAAAGCCCCCACAGGTCATCAGTTTAGAGATACCCCAAAATTCTGGCCCTGGAATTATTGCTCTCACTCCGCCGTGAGCGTCGATACCCAACATGTGTAGCGCGTTCGTCGTTTTCATATGTAGGCCGCACCCGACGCGTGTTTACGTGAAGATGCGCGTGCTCGCGGGGCGGGGGTCTTTAAAAAATGTTTTTACATTATTTTTATATTTCTTTTATTTAATGTTAATTTTAAAAACTGTTTTTTTTTTACTTTAATTGCTATCACATAGGGGGGGATTACAAGCCTCCCATGTGATAGCAGATAGTGATGACAGGTACTCTTTAAGGTGATGCTAGGGGTCCAAAAGACCCCTAGTATCACCTTTGTACTCCTAAATAAGCTATTGAAGTGCAGATCACACTATAGCTGGGCTTCAGGAGCCCGGCACTGATAGCTATGGGACCGGAAGTGATGCAATCTGCATCGCTCCCGGTCCCATAGAACGGGGAGGGGATGGACGAACAGAGGTTATTATCATATTAATTTCACCATTTGCCTTCTTAAAGTGTATGTAAACCCCAAATCTATTTTCCTGTATGTCTGGTATCCAGCCTCACTGTGTTTTCTTAAGCACTGCATTTTTTCTAAATCTATTGCCAAGTTTCTTGCTTGGAGATCTTTGTAATAACATCAATTGCTGTTTCAGGCTGACAGCACTAAGCTGTCGTCTTGCACTTACAAGCACTGCTATCAGCCAGTTGTGCACACTCCTTCAGCTGGTCATTGGCTTGCCTATTGCATGCCTTCTGCAGACCTTATAGGTACCCAGCAGCCAACTGAAGGCATGCGCATGAGCCTGAAACAGGATGTGTTGTTATTGGCAGGAACTCCAAGTAAGAAGCTATAAAATATAGTTGATATTGCTTAAGAAAACTGTACTGTATATAACGAGTCATGGTACATACTGAAAAATTGATTTGGGTTTACATACACCTTACGTTACAGTATATGAGAAGCCAAAAACCTATTTTTTTTTCACTTCGAAAGGAATGGTTAAAACAGGTGTACCCTTTGGAAGATTTCCCCCCTACTGCTGTTCTGGTGGCAACTAGAAATGCTGGATTTAGCCTAATTAATTTCAATTATAAAGAGTGAATCTCCCCAGTAGAGACACAGACAAAATAAAACAGCGGTTCTAAACCCTCCCCATGCTGTCCAAGATTTAAAAAAAATCTTGCAGTTTTGCAGTTATACTTTAAGTAACCACACAAGTAATGCTACGAAAATATAATTTATCCTCATATCCCTTTTTTCAGGATGGGGCTTCAGTATGGGAACTCGCTATCATTTCCATAGCTGGAGAGTGTTTGTGGTTGTATGTGTCCTGCCCTGCTTAGCCTCTATTATTGCCCTAAAGTTCATGCCGGAAAGTCCTCGCTTCTTACTGGAGGTAACATTTTCTATCATTGTATAAAATACCCTACAAATATTTTTTTTTGTATTGGATATGTATTAGATTGTATTAGAATCTATAGCAAAGAATAGTAAAGCTTGAATCAGTTAGGAAAATTTTTTAGTTTCCAAAGTGTACTGAAGGAATTTTAAACCATGTCCCTGTGTGTGTTGTAAAGTCTAAGCCTACTCCCAATATATCCTACAATTTCAATACAAATTAGTAAACTAAGCATGAGATTGTAGTCCACCACAGGAGCGAGCTTGGAGCGGTGGCTACTTTACAACACACAGGAACTGCGGGGAGCAAAAGTAGCCATCCTCCAGAAGGAAGGACAGTGTCAGCACCAATTCAGAGATCATTTGAGGATCTACAGTCAAGTAATTTTTGTTAATAGTTAGGGAATTGAAAGAATTTCTAAGATTTAACTTTTTAAGTTTAGTGTCATTTTAACTGCCTATTTATACCCAGTCCACCAAGGAATATTTATTGATGTATCTGAATAAAAGTTACAGAATTACTACGAGAAGAAATGAAGTGTCAGTTATAAAGTTAGGTAAAATCATTGGCAGTCCAATTTTTTGGCAGTATGTATACAGTATGTGTCCTATTTGCATAGCTGCCACTTTTTCTTCTAGTGTTCAAAGAGAGTGCCAGACATTTTTATACCTTTACAGAGCTTTGTTTAATATACAAGCAGAACAAGGTACAGTACAAACCAATTACAAATCGCCATTCATTGGCCTGATTATACTAGACTGTTGGAAGTTTACACTTTGTTACTTAAAGGAAAACTAAACCTTTTAATGCTCACCTCCCCTTCAACGATGAGCTCCCTTGCCGGTGCCGACATCTTCTCCCACTTCTTCTGTATTAATTTTCTTTGCATTCTTGCACAGGCAGGTAAACATGATGAAGCTTGGATGATACTAAAGAAGATTCATGACACTAATATGAGAGCAAAAGGAGAACCAGAAAAAGTTTTTACGGTAAGCATTTCATGTTGACACGGACTAATCTTCATTTGAAATGCAAAAGCAGCTTAAAGCAGGTTGATGCAGTTTGATGTGAATATGGTCATATGCCAGTAAAATGCACATGTAAATGAGCTAGGAATGTTCATAGCAGCATTTTAAACTGATCCCAAATGCAGGCTGAATCCATCTGGAAGCATGCTGCATTTTCCCATCAATACAAACCCTTAACAAGGTGGACACATGACCTATAGAAGTGGGTGGTGATTTACATCTGTCTCCTGTCCCTGGACTGTCCCATAGGAATCCCAGGTGTTCATGGCACTCTAACTGCTCTATACAGAACACTGGGGAAAAGATATTGATTAGGTCTTTCTTATTACTCTCTTTAAGATGCTGGTAGCCAATCATTATTGCCTCTATTGTTTTGTCTCTGGTCTGTGTTGAGGTTTGCTTTTAGGGCTCATTCACACAGCCACAGAGGACCATACATGCATCTGTTTATGCTCCTGATAATTACAGGTGTTATGTAGCCTGTAAATAATTAATGGCAGAGGCAGTGGCTGTATGAATCTTCCTGCACATTTGACGATTTATATCCATACAGCAACAGGAAGATGAGTTGAAAAAACAGTTTGACAAATCCATTGCATTGAAAATCTGGATGTTAAACAAGAACTTCAGGTTTTAGAAAAATTAACCCTTGCAGTGGGGCTACCCCCACAATGCAAGGGTTAATTGGTAACTGGTAACTGCGCAGAGGTGGATCAACATGAAGGTGATTGGAAAAACACTACTCCAAAGAACAAACACTGTGGAAGGAATTGAGGGTGGGGAGTTTAATACACGAAAATAGGATTTGGACTTACCTAGAAGGGACACTATGACATTTGATTTTTATATTCTGATTTAAGCTAATGAATTGGGGCATTTGTTATGAGAATATATCGGTCTAGCACAGAATGCACTGAATATTTTGCACAGTTGCACTGAATATTTTGAAGTATATTGTAATATTTGTATTATTTATTTATGTGGATTAGTTGATTGTGATTGACTTTGCACAAAGCCTACACTTGCATTGATTTTTTATTTATTTATTAAAATTATAGACGCAGGCTTACATTTAGCTTTGGGTTCCTAGTATAAGTATTGAGGCCCCAACAAGCATGAGATGTGACTTACGATGAATGGAGGAATCACAGAGGGGCAATTTAGCTGTGTTCTTGTGCGATCAACATTTTCGGAACTGCCTCCATAATGTTCTACACCATGTCTAAGGGGCCTGGAAACCTGGTCACCAGTAGTCCTCTCAGCAACTGGGGAAGGTTTATAAGGGTCACACCGGAACTGTCTGCACAACACATGCTTAAGCCAAAGAGGGCCAAAGGATTTGTATATGAGCAGAAAATATACGAATATTTGCATTCCTCACCGTGGCCTATTAAAGAACAATACACTGAAATGGCATGAGCACCTTAATAATCTCCCCCACTGCAGCTTTGCCCCTCATTCACCTCCAGGCCCAAGTCCAGCAGCTTGAGAGAACTGAGTGTACCAAGGCTAGGTCCACTGTTGACCTTTCTATATTTGAACTATTTAAATTGTTAAAGTAATCACAGGCCAGTGTCAGGGAGGTCATCAACAGTCTTTACTTTCTTCTTAGAAAGCGATGGGAAAGACTTTGCTGTATGCGCATTCTACATCCAGTTTCAATTCCTTCCTATGCGCAGTAGTGGGAAATGGCTAATAAAAAGCTGCTTATATATTTCAAACTCAGTTTGTGTGATCAACTCTAGAAATATGAAGAAATATCCACATACTTGAACACATGATGACAAACTCATTTATCAAACTTTATTTTGGATTTACCAGGTCTCCAATATTAAGACACCAAAACAACTAGATGAATTTATTGAAATTCAAAGTTCAACTGGGACATGGTTTCAGCGCTGGATTGTGAGGCTCATGACTGTTGTGAAACAAGTATGTTGCTAAGTATAGTTTTTATCTTTTCTCTTCTGAGTACTTATATTGCATTCTCTGCAAAGCAGGCCATGACAAACTGTGACCGATACCGCAAAAGAATTGCATATGTAAGGATGTATTATATGGTCTACACTCAAAGTCCTTATAACTGCTCTGGTATATGGCTTACTATTAAACCAAATATGGAGACACCTTGATTGTAATACATGGCTTCCACATATATTTGAAAAGGTATTCACCTGAGACTCCTGTTTTAATCAAATATTAGAAATTGGTTGTAAGTATTCACCCGTGAACTTTGTTTAAATGAAAGATCAGAAATTAATTTTAATTAGGTTCTATTTGCTGTCTATCACAGTTATATGAAATGTTGTTTGCACCACAAACCACACATTTGTAAAACAGTGAAGAGCAGGGGCCTGATTTTTGTTTTTGGCATAAAATGCAACTAATGAAAATCCTGTGCATAAAAATGACTCAGTTAAGTTTAAACCATATTTTTTAGATTGTGGAAGCTACTAAGACTAAAGAATTGTTTCTGGGACTGTGTCTTCTTGTTTATTTTTAATTGGAAATCTTTCTTTAAAGTTAACCTATTATGAGAGAAATATAGGGGCTGCCATTGCTGCTTGAGTTTTCAAAATGCTCCAATAAATAAACCTCAACAGCTGCAAGCACTGAAATAACTAAATGTTATCTTGTGACAATATATTGATATATGTGCCGTGCTTATAATATATCACACGTGAGTATGTTCCCAAGTGATATCCACAGCAATATAAGAAATGTCACTAAAATATTTACATCCAAATATTACAACTCGTGTAAACATTCATTCAGTGAAAAAAGGTCATTATTAATGTGAAAATACACACTGGTGGAAAAGAATGTCCAATATTATAAAGTCTATAAAAACATGAACAAGTGCAAATAGAATGTGAAAACATACAATTTTGTAATGTGCAGACCAAATCTTATTCCACTCCCAGTATTGGATCTTCGTGTGCCCCCTCAAAGTGAAACATTTACCTTAAAATTTGACCCAGAGATAGGTCTTAAACCACTTTTTAGATCCACACAGCGAATATTCTCGGCTGTCTTTGATGGAGTCTTCTCCCTTCGCCACAAGGGTTTAACCTGATGGATCTTCTCTCTTCCCTCCAAGGGTTAAACAGCAATTTCACACAGCGGATGTCTTAAATAGAAGTGAAGACAACCATATGAACACGTTTAAAAAGCAACAAGACTTTATTAAAAACTACTCACATAAAGATAAAAAAACATGTGCCTTATACTCCAAACGTCCTCAACCAAACTATCATATTATGCCGTAATGCAATTACCTTATCACGGCAGAAAGAAGCCGAGAAACTAGCATACCAAACGCTGCACACTCAACGTCCCGATCTCCAACTGCCGACTCGGCCTTGTGCGTTTAGTCACTAGATGTTGCCCTAGACAAGGTCCGGTAGCGACGGAACGTGCTATTAAGACTTAATATTGGAGTGATATAGAAGAAATTATTATGTGAAAACCCGAGCAGTGTTTACCATAATGGCAACCAAGGACCTGTGTAGGGTGGCAGGTTTAGAGGGGAAGCACCAAGCCACAAACTTTACAGATTGTGATAAAATGTCCCGTATTTTGTCTTTTTCTTCTGGGCATCTCCGGACATTTGTGGTTAAATTAATCATGAAAGCTGTAAGGGAAGGAGGGTGCATGTTTAGAGGAGTCAGAAGGCTTTTTCAAGTTCAGGAAACATGAACCCATCTCTTCTTTCTCTTGTGTAGTTGACACTACAGTTGGATTGTAGTTCTTTATATAACGCATAACCCATTTAAGCAGTAATTTAACAAAAATAAGCACAAGACACAAGAGATAAAACAAAAATTATGCCTAGATCAGCATGATGTCTAAATATGGCCCTTGGAAAACCAAAAGGGGGGAAGTGTTTGGAGGAGGCAGAATAAGTGAACAATGTAGGACAACATAGTTGAACTGGAAAGTGAGTTGAATTGGAGAATTTTTCCAAATCAGCTATTTTGGCCTAGATTGTTCACTTCTCCTGCCTTCTCCAAACTCTTCACCCTTTTGTGAATACCCTGTATGTATTCATTAAGGACACAATGGCAACTATACTATATAAAAATCCATACTATATTTTAATGTTGGTGCCCTTACTTTACTTTAGGTATGGGAAAACATGTTGTATTGCTTTTCTGGACAGTATAGAAAGAACACCATATTTCTGGCTGTAGTTTGGTTCACCATGTCATTAAGGTATGTATTATTACTTCTATGTTATTGTATGGTATTGTTGTATTCTCAAGTCTTATGTAGATTATCACTTCTACTCTGTTGTCCACTGCAGCTACTATGGGCTTACAGTCTGGTTTCCAGACACAATCCGCTACCTACAAGAAGAAGCCTATGCAGGCAGAGTGAAAAGATTTGAAGACGAACATGTAAAGAATTTTGTGTTCAATTTCACACTTGAAAACCAAGTACACATAGATGGAACATACTACAATGATAAGTAAGTTATTTTAAACTTTGAGGTATTGGGCAAAAAGCTGAAGATGATAAGACTTGGACTTTAAAGTATATCTGTAGCTGAACATTATGTTTTGTTTTGCATAGAGTAAGGAATTGTTAAAACTCAGATCAGCTTGCTGTTTGCTGTTTGTGTCCTTTTGGGGAAATTATGTTAATTTCCTGTCCTGTAGACACACCAGGAAATGATAAGAAATATAAGGAAAATCACCTCTTAGACAGATATCACCAGATCAAATTTTCATTCCTGGTGACAGTGGTTACTAGAACAATTAGAAATGGAGAATTTCACCAGTGAGGAGACAGACAATAAAAAAAACACCTAACACAGGTTCTAAACTTTTCCTACTTTAACATTTTTGGTGTTAGATACTTTAAGTATTTACCAACAATGATATTTTTACATCATACAGAGGTGGCTAAAAAGAGAACTAAAGCTAAACTTTCTTTTGGCTTTAGTTCTTTTTTTGACCTAATCTCAGCAGATAGCAGGACACTCAGGGCCGGATTTCCCATAAGCCCAACCAAGGCCCGGCCTTGGGGCAGCAGGGAGTAGAGGGGCAGCTGGGGTGTGGAATTCCTATTTCCTGACGCCCAGGGCATGCAGTTCTGGGTGCTGAGCGGGTAGTTGTCTTCTACATTTAGCCCTGCTTTGGGCTAGCAGGGCTAAATGTACATCGGGGAAGCCGCCGCTTGATTTGTACAAGTGATCTTGGCAATGTCCTCTAGATCACTTGTATGCAGCCTGCATACAGGGGGGTGCATTGAGGAAGCTGGCATTGAGGCAGCAGAGAGAGTAATTCCGGCCCTGGGGACACTGCCCACTATATCCTGACAGTGCACAGCCAATATTGTTGGAATACACCCCAATGCCTGATTGATCTCTCTAGATCCAGAGCCAGCTGTGCCCGCCCCCTCCCCTGTCTGTCCCCCTAGTGAATGCTGGAGGATCAGAGAGGGGAGGGGGAATCCCTGTGGGGAGCAGTGACTGAAATTCACCACTCTCTGCTGGGAGGAGACTGTGAGAGGAATAATCAGTGATTCATGATTGCTTAGCTCTCGATCTTTAGATCCGACATGTGAAAGCTGCAGTGTCAGAGTATATTTTACTCTCCCAATACTTCTCCCTTAAATTGAAACCTTGTTTTGTGCATGCAGGGCAAAGAAACAGGTTTACTTTATTGTGGACTCCCTCCAGCTGCACAATGTTACCTTCCATTTACTATCCTGCTGCTCTTTTTGACAGTGACGAACAAAGAAAGGTAGCTCTGTGTAGGTTCCAATTTTGCCCGCCTGTTTAGCCTCTCTCTGTGTCCTAGCAACCAATGATGCTATGCCCCTCACACAGCATCACTGATTGACTGGTGGCTAAGCCACACAACTTCATTGGTTGCTAAGCCGCTGGCGGCCCCACAACATCTGTTTTTTTATTTAATGCCCGGTTGTGTTCTTGCAACTACTGTTACTTTTTGGAGCTTTTGGACACTGTGCAGGTCCTAACCAACCAATGTTCACACTATGTGCGGACCAGAACGTTTTTTTTCCCACCTAAAATGCATCGTAATGTATTCCCATGATATTTCTGGGCTCTGTTCACACCAGTGCACTCCGTTCTGGTGCAGAGAAAAAAATGCTGCATGCACTATTTTTTTCTGGTCTGGAATGCAGCAAAATGCATGTAAATGCATAGAAACACATACAAACGCATTGGAACACACTGTACTGCACCTGAAAGCCCATTTTACGTAAAACAAAACAAAACACTGGAACGTGTCAAAAACGCACTGCACCGCGTTTGCAGATCTGATCCAGATTTGGTCAGGACATAGCGTGAACAAGCCCTCAGAAATAACTGAAGCCATTGGATTAGCATTACAGCCAATAAAGTTCTTTTTTCAGAGGGAGAAATCAGCAATAGTAACCCAAGAACTCCTGTCCTGCCTAACACTACATAATCTATTCTCTGCACTGACTGAAAGAGAGAAATGTAATGCAAATAAAGTATATTAGCAATTTTAATTACTTGCATTATACTAATTAATGGAGGTTAATAAAGATATTTTCGAACAGGAAGTGCCTTCTTTAAGACAAATGTAAAAGTAATGGGGCTTAAATCTCCCGTGATAAAAAAAAAAACCTCATCTAATATGCGTAGGGGGCTTCTTTTGCTAGTATCCTAAGGGATTTGTTGCATTAGATGTACCATTAAGATGGCTTCTACAAAAAATTAGATCAAGCTTTATATCAGTATATTACATTCTAAATACAAGTTGCCAGTTTGTGGATTTCTTTTATCATACTGACATCTAGTGGCACTAAGCGAGAATATTTTCAGACCTGTCAGATATACCGCATGATCATGTAGACTTCTAGCCCTATTGTAAAATAACAAAGGGGTCTCCCAGTGTTGGCCTACTTTTGAAAATTCTAGCTGTCTGCCTTAAGTATTTAACTGATCTGGACAAGTATGCAACAGGAAGGGTCAGAGTGAAGTAAAAACTCTGCATCTACATTCTCGTTCCTATATTGTTCCATGTACAATCCTTGTTTTATTGATTGCATGTAATAATCTACTTTTTTGAGGTTGTGGATTTGGGGTTCTTGGGGTTTTCATGAGCTGTAAGCCATAATCATCACAATTATGACAAATCACGGCTTGAATTATCTTGCTTTGCATGTAATGAGTCTATCTCATATATTAGTTTCACCTTTTAAGTTGCATTAGTGAAATAAATGACCTTTGCACGATATTCTAATTATTCGAGTTTCACCTGTATATATAACCCCTTTATTTTCTTTGTGCCTTTTTCTTACTTTTGCAAATTAGGTTCTACAAGATGAAACTGAAATATGTCACATTTGAGGACTGTGTTTTTGATGAGTGCTACTTTGAAGATGTCACCTCAGCTGGAACGATCTTTAAGAACTGCACTATAAAATTCTCTTACTTCCATAACACAGGCAAGACGGCATGTTTTTTTTCCTTAGGACATTAGTCTGAATCAGATACAGATATTGTTTGAGTTACCTTAATTTGTATCATATCCCCCTCTACGTTTTTTTCTGAGCCAATCTAATAAATGTGCAATTGTACACAAGCTGTTATTAAGATGGAACTCCAGGCAAATATTAAAAAGCAACTAGTTATTTAGTCATTTAAAAAATCATTAAATACTGCTGAACTACTGTCTGAAATCTTTCCTTGTATTATCTTCCTACGAACCCCAGCACAGAAGAAACCAGACTAGGAGTGGGAGGCCATGCGTTGTAAACTAATCAGTCTGTAAGGCATTGTACAATGCTTTCCATCTAATATCTTGTCAGACAATGGGAGCCGGGGTATGAGGTATTGGGAAGATTACAGGAGGAACTCGGGAACAGGGGAAACTCAGCATTGGCCATGATGCTTATTTATAGTATAGTGAGCAATGGGGTGACGTAGAGCTTAGTTCTGTGACATTCTTGACTATGTAGTATGGTAAGAATGTGTGAATCACAAGAGCAGCTAAACAGATAACAAATATTTTGGCAGTTAAAACAGTTTACATGCATGTGTGCTTAACAGTTTGGATAATGTTTTATTTTAAAGTCACCTTGTCAGCTATTAAAAATGTCCAGATTAAGGTTCATGGCAGAGAAGAGATAATATACTCACCTCTTCAGCGGTTTGTGTCTCCTACCCCTTGTCTGTTCTAGTGCTGCAGCCTCCAATAGTGTCTTTAGCATGCAACTCTTCCAGGAGTGTCAGATGCCTGTGTACCCTGCCGCTTGCTGTGGTTCCATCCAACCCCTACTTAATTACTGAACTCAGCAGTGACACAGAGGATGGAACCATGATGTATGTCAGGGGACAACACAGGCAATAGACAATGAAATGGAGGAAAAATAGAAAACATGGTTCACTGAAGTGGGAAGAAATCTTACATAAAAATAAAACAATCACTGCGTCATCTTTTCTTGATTTATGTAAAATGCCAATTGGTTCTACATCTCCTTCACAATAGGGCCCATTACCCTGCTCACAAAGTACAGGTGCAGTGCAATACTTTAGTAACACCACTTTAATTCAAGCTAAGGTACATGAAAATTATGGAATTATCACTAGATCTGATGATAAAGGTAAAAATATTGTTCTGATGTATAACAGGATAAACCGTTTTCCCAACAGTGTAATCAAGCCAAATGTTTCAGTGCACATTAACATTTAGCAAAACTTTCATCTACATTCTAGAGATGAGTGTTTTGCCAAATGTTAAGGGAATTGAGCCATCTGGCTTAAGTTAAACTTTTTGTAGCACTCTTTCCTCCATCACTACACCTTTGCGCAGGAGCCAGCTTACCACAACCGCACCTGACAAGCAGGACCAGGCTTGCTACACCTTGTCGCGCTCTGCCTTAATCGACACTCAAATGCTGCACATTTCACTTGCTAACAACACACTTTGCGCACATTTGTTGATGATCGCTATGCACCTACTGTATGCCCAATTTTGCACTCGCTTGCAGCAATGTGGAACTTTGCACTTGCAATGCTTTGCAATGCTGCTCCGTACACTTCTGCACTCATTGGCACCACATCTCCAAGCATTTTTTGCATTTGCCAACTTCGCACGTCGATACATCACTGTACTACTTGAGACTGCACCTAAACACAGGTCTGCGCTCACCAATGACATGCTTTTGTGCACTTGCCAACAGTGCACTGATGTGCACGAATGCATTTGCTGACATTGCACCAACACACACTTCTGGACTCACCAACACCTTAGTGATGCACACTTTTGCATTGACTAACACTACAATGACATGCATTTTTGCACTCAGCACCACTCAGCAATCACATGTACTTCTGCATTCTCTAACAGTGCACATCCACACACTAGCTGACACCGCAGCTACAGGCACATTTGCACTTGCCGACATTGCACCAGCGAATACTTCTGCACCCACTGGCACTACACCGATGCACCCTTTCAACTCACCAATACTGCAATGAAGCAGGCACATTTGCACTTGACTACACCATATCAGTGCTTACTTTTGCTCCCACAACATCAAATTCCTAGTTAAATTTGCCTCACCAAAATTACATGCACTTCTGAATTCCCTAACACCGAACATCCACGCATTTCTGCACTCGCCAACACCAAAGCGGTGCTCACTTCTGCAGTCACGGACACAATTCTGAACTTTCTAACGCCAATGTGCACATTTTCACTCTCCAGTAATGCAGGGAAGTGCACGTTTGCAATCACCAACACCACAATGATGAGCCGTTCGGCACATGCCAACTCTACACATCCATGCATTTCTGCACTAGCCGTCAATGCAGCTACACACACTTTTGCACTTGCCAAAACAGCAAAAATGCACTTTTCTGCAATCGTCAATTTTACAACGATGTGCACTTTTTCATTTACCAACACCACACCGACACTTGCCGATACTGTGTCAGCATACACTTCTGAACTCTGTGATACTGCACCAACATGTCATTTTGCACTGATCAATAGTGCAACGATGCACACTTTTGCACCTGCTGCCAATACTACAGTGGCACGCACTTGCCAATACTACAAATATGCGCATTTTGGCACTCAGTGACACCACAACAATGCACATCTTTGTATTTACCAATACAGACATGCACTTACATATTCATAAGATATACACAGTGAATTTCGGAAATGTTAGTAACTAATAAAGGTTCAAATAAAGCGGCCATGTCTCTTACTTTTTTGTTTTGTTTTAATGTAATAACTTTTATTATTGTTTTGTGATCCTCCAGATCTCTATGAGCACAGGTTCACGGACTGCACCTTAATAAACAATACTTTCTCCAATCACAAAGAGGATTGCGACATTGACTTTGAGGAAGATAATGATTTTCTTATTTATCTGGTCAGTTTTCTTGGAAGTTTATCTGTATTACCTGGAAATATTATCTCAGCCCTCCTTATGGATAAAATTGGAAGGATAAGAATGATTGGTGAGTATGCAGAGTTGATGTTATTTATGTTATCTAGTTCATATTCAGCGTCAAAATCTGTTGTCCATAGTAGTTAGTTGAGAGTACTGCATGGCAGTGCATGAAGCTTTCTTCTTTTAGTGCTCTGGAGAGAGGACTATATAACACAGCTGCTCTTCGTAAAATCTGCTGTCCCGATGATTTCTGGAGGGTGAACTCACTTCCAATCAACATTGATATTTCGTTCTTACTGCTTTTGAACCAGACAACACGTGGCTAGCTCATTGCACAATTTTCAAGCTCACTTCTGAAACCTAAGGGGCTAAACTGTTCTCCACTAAATCTCATGTATATGTCAGATTTGGTCATCTCCAAAAACGTGTTGTAGAGTATGACAGCCACAGCTGAAATTGATAAATATCTGGCAGCCTCATCTACACGTGTGGCCTGCTTTGATTTGCTGTACTGTTAAAGAGTAACTTTCTCTAAATAAAGATAAATAGGGATAACATGATCCGCTTTTGGACTGGATGTTGTACACTCTCCCATCCCCGATCTGCTCCACAAGGGGGGCATAATATCAGGTTCAGCAACTCCAACTGAAGATATACAGGACCAGAGAGATTCTCAGTTCTCATTCTCTGCTACAGAGAGCCTGTTCCCAGGCAGTCTGCAGCAAATTAGAAACAATACAACTGCTGAAACACTGGAAGGGTTTAGGCTTTTATTTTTTTGTAGGTTAGAGGTGTCTAGAATTGTAGGTGAACATTAACTTGTAAAGCCAACACGTCTTTAGTTTTATATAGAGTAAGGAACAGTTCAAACCCCTATCTGGTTATTTTTATGTCCCCCGTGTCCCTCAGGAAGATTTGTTTCTCTTCTTGATCTTGAAACAAAACAGGAAATGAGAGGAAATATTTCTAAATTCAATAGAATTCAATTCACTTTAAAAAGGGTTACCATAGGAACATGAGTCCCAGTTGGAGGCTTCTTCCCTCACTTTTAGGTCAGGTGACAACTCATCAGTTTCTACCTCAATGACAGTGGTCACCAACACAAAGAGAGGAGTGAATGTTCCCGGGGAAAATTACACAGACATCAATAAAAAGCCAAAAAATAAAACATTGCCTTTACATACACTTTAAAGTTCAGTAGATCCAAACAGTGCTGAATGCTTGTAGATGTTGTATGCTACCAAATATTGGTGTGGAGGAATAGTGGTCAACTTTCTTGATAAGTAGGCCTCAAGTGTGGACGCATACTATTCAGTGAATAATGCTACAGAAAACTGTCAGAGACTGAAAATATGCAACGGGAAATGGTCAAAGACTATGCAATAGGAGTTAGTCATAGACTGGAGGAAAAAACAGGACAGACAAGGGCATCACAATGGTGACAACCGTTCTGATCAGCAGGGGACCCATGCATGAATCCCCTCCTGATCGAGCTGTGTAAAAGGGGCCTAAACCATTAGCCCTAGCAAAATATTTTTCAGACATTTCTGTTGCAGTGTTGCTATTGTTTCTTGTAATTATCTGTTACAGTATTTCGTAATATGTATTTTATCTTTTGTTTTTATTAACTAATATATTTATCAGTTGGCTTTATGTTTTGATCTTCCATGCAGCTGGCTCCATGCTCATCTCAGCAGTTTGCTGCTTCTTCCTGTTCTTTGGTAACAGCGAGTCTGCGATGATTGGCTGGCAGTGCCTGTTCTGTGGAACCAGTATAGCAGCGTGGAATGCCTTGGATGTTATCACTGTAGAGCTCTATCCCACAAATAAAAGGTATTGCCTGTTCGGTAAATCATTTTCCTATTTTATTCTTGCTGCAAGTCCGGTATTTTCCAGGTTTTATTTAGAAAGCAATTATTATAGTTTTAATGTGGCAACTTTAATGCATTATTGGCTTAAAAATGTTAAAAATTGGCTTTCTGGTCATCTGAAGTTATTGCCATTTACTAGACTTCAGCTGACTTCAGCAGCTGTATTATTTGAATACAGCATATATGGTAAAATGCAATAAAAAGGAGTTCAAAGGGAATCCATTTTTGTTCTTTAAAGTAGTATTGAACTCTCAAGCTTTTTTTCCAATAATGAATCCCGATCAGACAAATATACATTGCCTAGCAAAATATTTCTTTACATGTTTGCCCAAATACTTTCTGTCATCATGTTTCCAAAAATTTAGCTCCAACTCTCTTAGCTGCCCTGAACTATCTGTCCAGTACAAGATCACGAAGGACAGTACTGTCTCCCGTAGTCAGCCATCTATTAGTCTCCGTTCACACCTGAGCGTTTCCTTAATGTGCTTCAAACACGGGGAAAAAATGCCGGGTTTGCTGTGTGTTAGCGAAATACGCAAAATAAAAGAATTGTGCTTACTGTGCCATCATTAATAATGGCACCCCAAACACATCCAGGAAGACATATGGTTTTCCTCCACATTTGCACGCGTTAAAACGCACACAGACGTGGATAAAAACCCCCAAAGAACTCATGTCGCAAATTTTGCTACATGCACTTCTTTTGTCTGTTTGCCACGCATTCAGAACCGCATTTAAATCAATGGAGTCATGAGCAAACATGAAAAAAACAAACCCGCACAAAAGTAATGCGTGTTCTTGCCTAGGTGTGCATGGGGCCTTAGCTTGGAGGAGGGAGGAGAGGGGAACAGGGAGCAGGGGAATGGCTTGCCTTGCTTTGTCTGAATGTTTGTGGAGACACACAAAGCTTACTCACACAAGCAAGAGTTGCTCCATAGGATATCAGGGCCAGTGATCAGGGGAACAGTTGTTTCTGCAGGAAAGTAATACTTTTACACATTTAGAAGTATCATCTATTGTAAGTGATTTCATCAACATTTGAAATAGCCTAAAAACATTTTGACTTAAAAAAGTGCCCTAGAGGCGACCATTTCACAACATCATTCATTTAACACTGTCACATTGCACAGCCAGGGACATAAAAACCCTAGATTGCAGTCCAGCTTTGTAGTCTCCTGGTTCTTCATTGGACAATAAATTGGCATCATCACTCTCATAGTTCAGCAATAGGCAGCTGCAAATCTGAACCAAGATACAATGGATTCATCTTCTAGTTTAAAGGTGTATGAAACACACAACTGGTAAAACATAGTAAAGTCCTGTGACAGACTACGTGTGTTACAATTTAGCTGTTTGCCTGGTATTTTACTTTAAAGTGACACTAATCTCAGGAGTTAAATCTTACAAAATGCATTCAAGTACTTTAACTATTAACAAAAATGTATCTTATTTGTATATGACTCAGCTATAGATCGTCAAATCATCTCTGAATTGGTGCTGACACTGTCCTTCCTTCTGGAGGGTGGATACTTTTGTTTTCCATGGTTTATGTGTGTGTTGTAAAGTAGACACCACTCCAAGCTCGATCCTGTGATGGACTACAATCATTATTAAACTAAACATGAGATTGTAGTCTATCATGGGAGTGAGCTTGGAGTGGTGGCTTACCTTATCTAATTGTCATTGGTTCCAAGAGAACTATATTACTGATACAGCACGACTAATCTCCACACTATGAGGAATATTTATCCAATGGTGGGCACTGCACTCAGATAAGAGTAAAAGCTGTCCAGGTGCACTCAAGGCAAATAGATTGAAATGGCCCAGTGGAAGGGGAACTCATGGGTCTTGTAATGAAGCAACATAAATAAATGTATTATTCTCAAGAGAAAGACCAGCAGTACCCTGTCAAAATGTAGACCAATCCATTTATTTCAAGAGAAAGACAAGCAGTGCCTTGTCAAAACATGAGCTAATGCATTTATTTATGGTACTTCATTACAAGACCCATTAGTTCCTCTTCCACTGGACTATACACAGACACAAATATACAGTATATATTTATTATATTATAGAAGAAGTTAATACAATATGAACTATATTGTCTATGTATACATGTAATAGATAAGTAAAACAACAAATTACATCCAACTAATGTAGATAGAAATATGTGTGCTTTCATAAAATCCTGAATTGTACTGGTAAGTACTGAGCTGATCTGCATATTTATATTTTTTAATTCTTCAACAGAGCAACAGCATTTGGCATCTTGAATGGTCTGTGCAAGCTGGCTGCTATATTTGGAAACTCCATCTTTGCTTCTTTTGTTGGCATAACAAAAGTCGTTCCGATTCTCCTTGCATCCACAGCCCTTGTAGGTGGTGGCCTTATATCTCTTCGACTACCTGAAACACGAGAACTTGTCCTCATGTAAATACATACAAAGGAACACATTATTGAGACCTTTCAGTGAAAGTGCTATAGCGACAGAAGATTTGGGTACAGAACTCCTGCAAGCTGTTACAGTTACAGCCAAATGAATCATCGGACGTATTAGCACAATCATCATCATGGTCATCACTGCTCAAGCAAATCTGAAAATCCTGGCAGATAGCCAATGCTGTTTTCTCTCCTGACTATTGATACATTTGTGTTTTAGTTTATTTTTATATTGTCATTGATTGAACATAATGTATAGAATTGTATCTTGTAATAACAGGGTTTCAGAAATACCCTACTACTGTTATTTAAATATGAGTAAAATATTATCCTATAGACACTATAACTTAAGTTGTATATTGTCAACCTTGGAAAATTATTAGTTCTTTTCCAGAACATCTTATTGGAACGCGTACAAACACTAAATTATAGGGACTGAATGTATAGGAAAATATATTAATGGAAGGTTTATATCGTATGTCTTCATGTTAACTGAATTAAAAATTATTCTTTCTGCTAGTAGGGGCTCAGAAAGAGTGTCAGCAAACATATAGCTAAGATTTACTGCATGGTGACATCATCAGGCTAAGCTTGATGGTGTAATTACACATGTATTTATTGAGCCTTTGCATGTTCCCACAAATGGGGGGCTTCTAATGATGTCTACTGAAGAGAGAGGTCAACAAAACCCTCTGCATGTACAACTAAGCCTAGAGGTTTAACTCCCCTCAGGGAAAGAAGTAGAGGATAGGGCCCCATGTGGTTTAGATAATCCAAATACTGTTATAGTCCATGGATGACTACATATATAGGTAAACATGATATTTATATCTACTCTGACACTGAGGGCTTATGCTGATTTCAACTTCCTCTTTGGCCCTTTTGTTTGTCTTGAATGGAGAAATCTCACATCAGTCTTCCCATCCACTTAGCCAGATAGCTCAGCAAACTTAATTTCCTCAACCACAATATTTAAAGTAGTATTAAGGTCTGGGCGTTTTTTTACCTTAATGCATTCACTGCATTAGGGTAAAAACAGCCCAGCACCTTTTTTCTACCCCAGTCCCCCCCACACTTACCTGTCAGCTGCGCTCGTCCCCGCCAGTCCCGAGGTGATCCTCCGTACAGCGAACTTCAGGGTTGTGGGGGAGGATACTGATGGCAGTGGAACCATAGGCTCCTTCTGCCATCAATCACAGAGGTAAGGGGCGTGGCCTGCCACAGGGCTGTGTGTGTCTATGCCGCTGCGAGCACGAGCATGCACGGGTGCCTCCATTAGAACGATGGTGGCACCCGTGCAGGGGGAAGGGCATGGCGGGGACCCACTAGAAAACAAGGAATGAAGTACTTTTAAAATAAAAAAAGCAACATCCTCCAGCAAATGAGGGTATTCTTAAAGGAGAAATAAAAATAAATGTGGCTTTAATATCACTTTAAGTGCTAATTATTCAGTCCCCACTAGCAAAAGAGTAATGTCACTATAGTATATTGCCACAATGCTTTTTATTTTTTGACCACTGTGTAGTTTTCTGAATACTGTGGTTCTACATGTAGTATTTCTCTCCTGCTAGCACAAAGGCAAGCACAACATTTCTATTTGCCAACACTGGCAATTTTTTTTTTCTAGTCAAAAGACAATTTTTGTTAACTATAAATCTAACAAAGAAGCCACTTGACCTCCTAAATCTCAAGAGTTAAAATTAACTTTTCAGGTTCTCCTTAAAGACTTCACTGGGTGACCTTTTCCTACTGTATTTGTCTCCGCACACATCCTATATAAAATGAAGGGACTTCGATTTCAGCCTGTTTAATTAGTTTTTGTTAACCAATGTTTTTGCTATAACACAAGCTAACTTGGAAGTCATTTCATGCTCTGAAATGTTAAAAAAACAGTTCCTTAATCACTATTTCCAGAAATATGTGCACTAGATATAATAACAGATACTTAGTCCATGCCCTTGGCTGCATATTACGATGTTAGATACCTTGACAACTTATCATTGCAGAGACATATAAAACATCAACAGTCAGCTGTATTAAAGGTTAACTTTATTTGTGATTTATCTAGACATATTTAATCTCTGCTGGATGTTTCCTGTACTTGACATTCAAATCATCCAGCAGCACTACAAGCAGGTGTAATTGGACAATTCCAGAACGACTATCTTAATTCTCTCTTCCAGGATGTTGTCATTAGCTTTTAATTGTTGCTACATTTAAGGAATGCATTTTGTGATGTCTGTGTATTCAGTATTTATCTTTTTAAAAAAACCATGTGACTCAGTTGATATAAGTATAAATCAAGCTACTTCCTTATTACAAATAAATGTTTTAATTCTATGTACCGGAAACAGTGTACCAATGTATCATGCACTGGCTTTTTATGTCTCTGGGGACTCGCACCCCGAGTTTTGGTCTTCCTGTTATCTCCTCCACAGTATAAAATACATGGAATATACAACAGGGAGGCTGAAGATTGCCTTTATTAAAATTGATAAAAGTGCACTTTGCACATTGCCATGATTTGCTATGAACATGCATGACTTACATTTTGGGATATTTATAAATCATCAAAGTTCACAAGGCCATCCAATGTTTTCACAGTGCACGACCTTGCAACAATATTTTATTATCATGTGATGGTCACCTATATTAGAGACACAGTGTATAGCCTTCAGTGCGATATACAGTATACTACAGCATCCTATTGTCCCAGTCATTTACTGTACTGCATAGAGTAGTATAGAGCAGTGTACAATATGTGTACAATACAACATTTACATTCTTTTCCCACTGCTTGTTTTTAAAGGGACATTAGCTACTTGAACTAACTTCTTAACGCATAACTCTATAAGTGGGGGCAAAACTATCCACAAGAAACATGAATTTGAAGCCCATGACCACTTCCAAGACTGCAACCATATCATGAATCAGGAACACCACTTTTACACCTAGGCATTTTTCGCACAGAGCTAAGCATGACAAAACACTCAAGTCTTGTTCACACCTGAGAGTTTTGTCGCAAGCAGAAAAATGCATGTTGCTGAAAAAAGTACACAAGCTACTTTTTGGCAGATTTCAGAGCTTTCTGGTCCCATAGACTTCAGTGGGAAACTTTGTGTGACAAAAGGCTCAGGTGTAAACAGGGATCTTAAGAAATGAATGGGGTTCCTTGTCTTGAGTGATTTATCGGAGTCAAGACTAGCAAATATTATTCCTTGTCTTGAGCCTTTGGTCGCGCTTAGCTTTGAGCGTCAACTTGCCTAGGTGTGAACAGAGCCTAAGGCGCATGTAACACTAGTACTGACAACAACTCTCCAGCAAAACGGATGCTAGAGAGGGTATACAAATCACAGAATAATGTCCCACTGCTCCAGCTAATTGGGGATCCATACCATAGAAATAGGTGGCAATGGAGATTCTGAAAGTTTTAGACAATGAGGGACCAATGCGTCGCTGTTCTAACCAGCTAGAGAGCAACACCATAAAAACAGGGGAGTCATTTTCTTTCTGTCTTCTCTAGCAACAGGATCCCTAGTGTGTTATGAGCCTAATGCTTGCCATGCAATCACGTAGACTGAAGAAAAAGAATCACTCAGTCCCCCAATATTAAACAGAAATATTGATTTTGGAAGGACAGAGTCTTAAATGCATTATTTTTAGTGCAATTACTTGAGTTATAACCCCTGTCAGCTTTTTTTGCCATCTGTGTCCAAATGGGGAGATTTCCCTTCAGTTCCTTTCTGATAGCCAGAACAGGAAGTGCGCGGAAATCCCTTTAAAGTGCACGGAAATCCCTCTTCACTCTATCCAAAACTAGAAGAAAAAAAACAGCTTTGGCTTGCACTTTAATATGGTAACCAGTTCACACTCATCTTGCTCATTGCTTTTAGTGCTCTACAGTGATAAAAGGCGAATTATTAGTTGGAATGAATTACAGTGCATTCTTCTGCCCCCCCCCCCAACTACAGAGTGTCTGTCAAATAATGTGCAATGAAGAACTACTATTGCTACAATCAAAGATATAACTGTATATAGCTTTTTTGTTAAAGTTTTGGATAGAGTGGAGAGGGGATTAGAATCCCTTTCAGGTTTATTTTGGGTTGTTATCAGAAGAGGAATAGATGGCACTAGGTCTAGTGACCCTGCTGACCACCAGGGATTTCCTTCACTTTATAGGGATTTCCTTCTACTTCCTGTTGTGGCTATTGGACATGACTGTGGGAGGAGCCTGCTGCCTGCGTGAGGAGTGACACTACAGGCGGCGCGGCCGCACATACGCACGGGCGGCCACGGAGAGAGTCCGAGTCTGACCGGACCACAGCAACAGAGACCCGCCAAATCCCGCAGTGGCATAATAACCGGGGGGGCTCCGTCCGGCGCCCCCCCTCAGCTTAACACCCGGAGCAGACACACCGGCCGCCCCCCCCGGTTGTTACGCCACTGATTGGGGTTTTCCACCTCCTCCATCCTACTGAATTTCACATTAGAAAATTCAAAGTAAGGAGCTGGATAAGTGTCATTACCTCTCTCCCAATGTCTTGCTCTCAGACATTCAGATATATTACAGCTTGATTGATGAGCTCTGTAGCTGTTTGTTAGCTGAGCTGCAATTAATTTTACACGGATCGAGTAGCTGACAGGAAATATTGGACCTTTGCCTGATCTGACTCTGCAGGACTCTGTCTAAGTGATGGAACACCACAGATAACGTTTTCCAATATATTTACTGCATATAAAGAAGACTAATGATATAAGGGAAATTAATCTGATCCATTCTTTTAATGCTGAATGTCAGGCAAAAAAAAATCAAAACAATGAATTAAAGTGACACTAAACTCAGGAGGTCAATTCAAGATGCATTCAAGTACCTTAACTATTATAAAAATGTAGATTACTTGTGAATCACTCGGCTGTAGATCCTCAAATCATCTCTGAGTTTGTGCTGACGCTGTCCTTCCTTCTAGAGGGTGGCTACTTTTGTTCCCCATGGCCTCTGTGTATGTTGTAAAGTAATCACCGCTCCAAGCTCACTCCTCTGACGTACTAGAATCCCCATACAAATTAGTAAAAGAAACATGAGATTGTAGTCCATCACGGGAGTGAGCTTGCAGTGTTGGCTACTACTTTACAACACACACAGAGACCATGGAGAACAAAAGTAGCCCCCCTCCAGAAGGAAGGAGAGTATAAGTACCAATTCAGAGATGATTTGAGGATCTACAGCTGAGTGATGCACAAATAAAATACATTTTTGTTAGTAGTTAAGGCTCTTGAATGCATTTTTAAGATTTAATTCCTGAGTTTAGTGTCACTTTAAGTTATATATTGATTTAAAGGATAAAAGGATAATTCCAGTTTCCCAGAAAATTTGGGGAACTGAAATTTACCACACAAATTGGTTCCCTCTGGCCCCCCAGGCAGTCAAACCTTTGGGGGAA